GTCCGTGAAAAGACAATGAGAAACGAGGAGCTCAAGAAGCAGCTGCTCGAGCTGCAACGACATCAAAAGACAGTCGCGGCAAGATTAGACGAGGCCAAGGCAAAGAAGGGCGAGCTCACGAGTCGTTTGGAGCAGAAAACACAAGATAAATTAACATTAAAGCAAGAAAGCAATAAGCTGCGGCCGTACATGCTGCAAAGCCCGTCGGCATTGCAGGATAATCTGACAGAGCTACGCGAGATTCTCAACAACGACAAGGCGCACATTGATGCGCTCGACCGCAGAGCGCGTGCGCTCCAGACATCGACGGACTCATTCACCGTGGTATCAACGGACGTTGCGTCATGCATCAAGATTCTCGACGAAATCGCTACCGAACTTGCAAAGGAAGAGGAAGAAATGGTCAAAAATGCTAAGCAACGTGACGCCTTGTCTGAAAGGGGAAATAACGCCAGAGAGGTGGAACGCTCCGAAGTGTTGCTGCGACGGCAGTTGAGCAAGTGGGCTGATCGAACTGAGAAGTTGCGCGAGCAGAGTCACCAAAAGGCTCAGGAAGCCAAGGAGAAAATGCACGAGCTAAGCGCCATTCACCGAAAGTTGACGGAAGAACACACAGACAAAGGCAAAGAGATGGAGATTCGGAGGGTCAGGATTGAGCAGAAGGAGAAGAAGGTGAGCTGTGCCGTCATGTTTTGACACCATTTCAGAAAACTAATGAGAGACAGATGCTTGACCTCAAAGAGAATATTGAAAATGAGGTACACGCCGCGTACGACGAGTATCTCAAGATGGAGGCACACATCAAGCTATACATTACGGAAATGGAGCAGTCTATCAGTTGAGCAGTGTTTTTGAGGGCTAATTTCTTTCTTTCTTTCTTTCTTTTTTTTTAACATTTTAACGTGCCTAATATGAATGGATATGATGAGATACCACGGCTTGGCGTTGGAGGCATTTACAAGTTATTACATCACTAGGCCAGTGTCAGTTAGCAAAACGAAATGATGGAATCAGATTGACGTTATTCATCTGTTTTGGCATCTATCTTGAACCAACTGCCCAGTACTCTACCCACTGGGACAATCGGCCCACTCCATGATCCATCCTCCTTCAACGGCGTTCCTGTTAGAACGGGCACGTTTTCTTTCAGAGATTGCTCCAGCTCTTCTTCATCACTCGTCCGTCTCGCTTCAACCGCCACTGCGCGGAATTTGTTCCTGAGTGCGCTCTCGACGAATGCCGCTGCTGATAAACTTATTCCCTGGGCCGACCACTCCATTCCATCGCGGTGTATGTCCAACAGACCATATACAATGAGTGCAGGCGGCTCTCGCAGGGAGTCCAGCCTCGGCGGCGCCGGTATTCTAGATTTAGAAGCCGAGAATGTGGACAGCTGGGCTCGCAGATGCGTCACTGTTGGTGCGAAGACGATGTTGATGTGTCGCGCGGTGGCTGTTTGGAGGAGCGTTGCGCGAAGGAGTGTGTGGCTGTGCTCGTCGTTGGCGCCTTCGGCACGGTGGGACTCTTGCTGCTGAATGTCTTGCACGAGGGCGCTTGTGAACTGGTCTCGGGGCCATGCTACGACCACTGTCGTCGGGTATGTGGTGTTGGCGATGAGATACTGCAAGAGCTCGGATGGTGTGACGGGTCGGAGGATGGTAGGCTGCAATCCGGCCATGGTGCAATGCTGACCGGGGGTGTTTTTATGGACAAATCATAGGTGAGCTGGATCTGGACTTGTATTGAGCAGCGGCGGAGGCGGTAATCCGCATGCGCTTGTCATGGTCTTGGGAAGTCGTGAAGTGACTGATTGGCCGTGGTGTTTTGCCTTTTGCCTCGCGAGTAACCCAGACTGCACATGTCTCATTTTCTAGCGGAGGCTAGGGCATGAAGAAATTTGGCAAAACTGGAGTAGTTTGTTGGAGATTTTCGGTGTAGCGTCATGGTTTTTTCTTGTCAGAGTTCAAACATCAAGGGAATTTGGAATGGGGTGAAGTCACGACTCGAGCCTCATCTAAGGAAGAAAGTGGTTGAGTCGAGCCTAATAAGCTAGTGGAGGGGCAGACAGTGTGGGGTCAATGGCGGGCATACGTAAAGTACCAAGGGAGCTGCTACTAGTACGGAGTACTCAGCGCCTGTGTCGGCGGCCCAATTCGACTTCGTCCATCATCAACTTCACGCCTCCCCAGCTGTCGCAACACAAACCCGCAGGCAGCGTCAGCAGCGGAGGCTTGGCCCGCATCTTCGATATGGAGTCCATATCGAGGATGTCTAGTTTCCTAGGGTCAGGTAAGCATTCCTCACGCCTGCCCTTCGTTCTCTTGCACAACTGACCGAGTCCACCTCAGCAAGGGCCCTTACCCTCGACGTGGCACAAGCTACGCGCAATGTCGGCTCGAGCTCTCCGTCCCTCAGCCCAAGAGACATTGAGAGGAATCTTGAGAGCGGGAGTGATAAAGATGTGTTGGGCGCCTTGCGGCTGGTTATATCGGTGCGTAGGGCAGGTCCCGCGACCCATCTCTGACTGTATACTAACAAATGTCCAGATGATGTATCGAGGCCAAGAGACGCTGGGTTTCTTCAAGTCTGTCGCCAAACAGGTTGCAGCGACGAATACCGAGATCAAGAAGCTAGCCTATATATACCTCACCCATCATGCCGAGGAGGAATCCGACCAGGCTCTAATATCGGTCAATATCATGCTAAAGTCGTCACAATCCGACCCAAACCCACAGATGCGAGCCTTGGCGCTCAAGACGGTGTCTGGAATCCGTGCGGAATCAATCAATCCATATGTGTTGGTTGCTGTCAAGCATGGAGTCGCCGACATGAGTCCTTATGTGCGGAAAGCTGCAGCGCTCTCTATCCCAAAACGCTATCGCTTAGATCCTAGCCAGTCGCCAGAACTGATTGGCTATCTCACGACTCTCATCGGCGACAAGCAATACTTCGTAGCTGGTGCAGCCGTATCTGCTTTCCTGGAGGTCTGCCCGGACAGAATCGACCTGATCCATCCACACTACAGAAGCCTGGTGCGGAAGATTGTGGACATGGACGAATGGAGCCAGCTGGCCATGCTTAGGCTCATGGTCTATTACGCTAGGAAATGTTTCCCTAGGGTTAAGGAGCCCGCCGCAACTTCACCACATCGGGATACGAATGCGGATGACTTTTATGCCGACTCGCCACATGCCAAGAAGACGCAGCAGGTTCCCCTCAACAGTGACCTGCTATTGTTACTCAACAGCATCAAGCCACTGCTTCAAAGCCGAAATTCAGGCGTTGTTGTTTCAGTAACGAGGTGCTACCTTGAAATTGGCACTCTAGAATACGTCAAGCTCGCAATCGGGCCATTGATTGCACTTTTGCGGGGGGCACAGGATATTCAACAGCTTGCATTATACAACATTGTTTCAGTTTGTCTCAAGAGGCCAAAGGACTTTGTCAAATATGCCACTCACTTTCTTGTTAGGGCTACTGATCCTGCGCCGGTAAGAGAACTCAAGCTGGAAGTGTTGACACTCATTTTCCCGCACAGTCCGCTCCACATCAAGAGTCTTATCTTGAAAGAGCTGGAACACTTTTCTCAGAGCTCAAACAAGGCTCTGGTACTGGAAGCGGTAAGGGCAATTGGAAGATGTGCCCAATCCGACGCCAAGACGGCCCCCAGATGTCTCAAACTTCTTCTTAGCCAAACCACTAGTTTAGACGGGACTTCAACAGCAGAGTCTTTGACAGTCATTCGTCACTTGATACAGCAGGATCCTGAAGGCCATGTCGGAACTGTCGTTCGGCTGGCCAAGAATCTTGATTCAGCGTCTGACCCGCAGGCCAGAGCCTCCATTATTTGGCTGGTGGGCGAGTTCTCTGGTCTGAACGGCGATGACAATATTGCCCCAGATGTTCTCCGTATTCTGTTGAAAGACTTTGTCAATGAGCCTGAGGCTGCCAAGCGACAGATTTTACTTCTCGGAGCCAAAGTTTACCTTCATTTTCTGAATAGAAAGTCCGACATTGCGAAGACCGAGGAAACAGAAGAGAATGCCCAACAAGAGCCGGACGCCCACCCTATCACCCGTCTGTGGGACTACTTACTCCTACTTGTAAGATATGACACCTCTTACGAATTGCGAGATCGGGCTAGAATGTATAAAGCGCTGCTTGAGGTCCCTCAACTGGCTACATTGATACTTTTAGCACCCAAACCGGCGCCGCAAGCTCCCAGTCCATCGGAGTCGAGAAAGGGGTTTCTGTTGGGCTCCTCAACGCTAGCTCTGGCTGGCGGCGGCGGCATTCATGGTCTAAGGGGCTACGAAACACTTCCCGACTGGGTCGAGCCGGGCAGAGAACCTGATCCTCGTCTCAGAGACCATGCCGATGGTGGCACGTCTCCTCGACATGGTGAACAGAGCGCTGTGCCGGCAGGTCATATGTTGGACCAAGCCGTGACCTCGAGGCCGCCACCTAATAAGCTGAATGGCTTGGGAGAGGGTGTAGGCACCAAGACTTTGGATGATTGGCTTGCAGAGGAGGAGAGTGAAGAAACCGAGGAGGAAACAGAAGAGGAAACCGAGGAAGAAGAGACTGAAGAAGAAGAGGAGGATGAGGAGGAAGACGACGACGACGAGCAGAGTGATGAAGACGGCGAGGGTGATCGCCTTGTCAAGGGATAACTATGTCATCAATGGGGGCAACTCATCACGTAAGCATTCTCAGTGGCATTCACATATAATAGTTCAGGAACTGTTATTAGCCTTAATAGAGATGCCGGGGAAAGAGAGTACCAATACATGAAAGATTAGAGTGATGAAGTATTAATTTTGAAAGCTCTATATGCTGCATGCATGTACCAAGACAAAATCGCCAGTCAAGTCTAATTCACGCCAGAGCAATTAATAAGATGAAAGGAACGTATGCTGGGGGTATGCTGATTATTCCCTAGACTCCTGCCAGACGCCTGTTCGTCTTCAATGACATTCGTTTTTCCACAGTCGACAGCTTCAACGGCTCGATTCAGTCTTTTGTCCCTCGTTGGAGGAATCCGGACAGTCAGTCGCCTTGGGCTCGGGGCTCTCCCTCTCGGCGTCGGAAGCAGCAGCAGCAGCCTTCTTCTCGCGGTGCCCGTTGGCCATCTGAGGAAAGAAGATGCCCGGGTGGAAAATGGTGAGCAAGTACACGGCGACGAGGATGAGCGAGCTGTCGAGCACGAGGAAACTCGGCTCGTCCTGCATGATCCTGTTGCCCCATCCACCGGCCATTTCGGCAATACTGAACCAACCACCGGGTCATCAGTTAGTTCACGATGATGCGCCCCTGAACGACAGACAAGCTCGGGGGTGCGAACAACAACGTACCGGTATATACAGCGGATCAGGACCGCCACATAGGCGCCCGTGACGCCGAGCGCAAAGGCGCGAAACTTGGCGTCGTGCCACAGGGCGAGCTCGGGGGCCGTGGCGTCGGCGCTGCGCATGTGCCTCGCCGCGCGGGCGAAGTAGTCGGTGGCCAGGGCGCCAAAGACGGCGAGCACGAGGACCTGCAGTACGACGCCGGCGATGATGGCGCGGTTGCCGCCCTCGAGCAGCTTGGGGTTCGAGTGGCCGGCGGCGGCGGCGATGCCGCCCCCGATGGCCTGGACGATGAGGCACGAGAGGTCGGCGGGCAGGAAGAGGCGCGGGTACCAGCGCGGCGGGATGCGCGAGAGCCGCGGGTTGAGGTGCAGCGCGGCGTGCTTGAGCGTCAGGTAGATGGACACGCAGATGAAGGTGGGCGCGAGGATGATGGCGCAGATCTGCAGCTCAAAGGCGGACTGGTGCCACGGGTTGTAGTGGAGGAGGATGCGCCCGACGTAGCCTGTCTCGACGATGGGTGGTGAGGTCACTGAGGTGGTGATGATGGTGGACGAGGAGCATTCGACATCTCTTGGGGGGGGAGCAACACGAATACATACCTGCGGTTTCTAGTATCAGCCCTATCGTTATGGCTGCCATGTACGTCTTCTTCCACATGCCGAGCGAGAAGGCGGCAATCAGACATGTCCCAAAGGCGATGGTGAAGAAGATGCCCGATCCCAGGTTCGGGTAGTATCCCAGGACGGTTTCGTCGACGGGACACGAGGCAGAGACCTCGGTGCACCGGGTGACGCTGACGCGAGGCCCATTTGAGTCGGACATGGCTTGCGGCTGTATAAAGGTGCTCGTCCTTGCTTCACAAGGTTTTGATCGTGTGGTCGTCCTGTATATAGTTGAGCTTGCTCGTTTCGAGTCGGTAGGTGTGGTGTTTCGGGTGGCAGCAGAGGCTGGCAGCAGATCTGTTACAGATCCCCCGGGGGGTGAGAAACTTGGATCAGCCGGCAACTACTTGATTTCGAAGGAGGGTGAATGAAGTCACGGGGAGAATAGAAAAGTCATGGCCCGGGTCATCGAGCCTGGAGTCTGGACAGCGGTTCATGGGGAGAAGCATGTCCCCGAGAGCAAACTCTGGGATATAGTATACACATATATAAGCGCAGCCCCATGAGGAACAAGGAAATAAGCGTATCGCGGATTTAGCGTCCTGATCTGAAATATCACTCCCGGCTCGTGCGTCCAGTTGGCTACGAGAACTGACCAAGGTAGACGGATGGGTGGGCGTGCTGACTGCAGCATGCCAGCCGGATGGGATGCTCTCCTTCGGGCGCGAAAACTCCGCCGTCAGTGCGGAGTGTAGTAGTACTCGGCATTGATTGGGCGTCTGGTCTTGATTCCGTGTTACGTCCGCAGTGCGGCTGATGACTGCTGATGTTGGTTGGGCCACGATATGGGATGGAAGTTTTTCTGGCTAGAAAACTCGATCTGGTTGAGTCTTCTGCCGCCCCGTGTCGAGCAGGCTTCACCTCCTGGGTAGACTCTCCGCCTAGCCTCCATCACTCTTCCAAGATGGAATCTCTCTGATCGATCGACAACAAGAAAAAGACAAAGGCCATCGCGCAAAAAATGTGGGATGGCTTCCCGGGACGCCGCCGACCCGAACACCTTCAGTTATGAAAGTGGAGTTGTGCCCAACATTGAATGGACAAAGGCTGACCGTGACCGTGCACACAGCAGCAGACTGTCGTGATCCCTCCGGGCGCGCTCGGGTTGGTCCGAATCAGGAGCTGTGCCGTGCGGGCGAATTGATTCATCCAGGCCGACTTCACCGGGCAGAGATGTCGAGTCTCGGCCGAGGGTTTTCCTCCATGTGGATGATGGGTAGAGGTAGTTTACATGTGGAGATATTAGGTGCAGCTTAAATTCAACATGGGACATGGCATGTCCTGTTCTGGCAATCGGGCTTGGCATGACGCGGGATGCTCAAAAGTGTCCATCATCATTCACAACGACGCCGACAAGTCTACTCCTTGCCCCCGAGATATCTATACACCACCGAAAAGTCGCGTCCCTTGCACTCTTCCCGCTTTTCCGCGTCCTCGTACACGCCAAACGCAGTGTCGGCGAGAGCCATCTTGGCCCCGGCCTCCTTGGCAGCCACCATCGCCAGTCGCAGATCCTTCTTCATCAGGGAGATGCCGAATCCACCGCCATAGTCGCGTCCCGCCGGCGCCGTCTCGACCACGCCCTTTACCGGATTGTTGACCTCACTTGGCCAGCAGCGGCCAGTGCTGACATTGATGACGCCCGCAAGCTTCTTGGGATCCAGACCCCACTTCATCCCCAGGTTCATGGCTTCTGCCGTGGCAATGTTGTTGAGAGCGAGCAGGTAGTTGTTGGCGAGCTTGGCGGATAGGCCCGCGCCCTGTTCGCCGCAGTGAAGCACCTTCTTGCCCATGTGCAGCAGCGTGGGCTCGACACGGGGGACCATCTCGGCCTTGGCTCCGAGCATGAAGGTCAGCGTGCCGGCCGTGGCGCCCACCACTCCTCCCGACATGGGAGCGTCGACAAACGTGCCCTGGCCGGCATCAGAAACCGACCTGGCCACCTCGCGGGACGTCGAGGGGTCAATTGTCGAGCAGTCGATGAAGACGCGGTCCTTCTGCGGCAGTGTACCTGTCAAAATGGATTTGTAGACGCCTTGGACGTGTTGGGGCTCGGGGAGAACAGTAATGACTGTGTCCTATAGCAATGAGTTCTATTAGCCATGTTCACGTCTATGTTTTTCCGTGATGGCTGGCTACTGCATCATAACACCCTCGCCTAACCACCGCCTTGGTCCGACTCTTGCTTTGCAGGGGCTCTGTTGTCACAGTTTTGACGAACAAGGTACTGTTCAGCCCGTCTACATCTCGCCCTCGATCGAGATAGAAGAAAGTTGTACAAACACTTTATCTCACCGTGTGCAACGAGACGTGTGGAAGAATCGGCATTGCGCATGCCCGCCGAATTCGATGCAATTCACCCAAGATCAAAAACTTACAGCCTCCTTTGACGCTGCCCACGCGCTGGGGGCAAGCTCAACCTTTGCGCCGCCAGAAACAGCCTTCACATCACTTTCCAGGCTCTTCATGGCTTGCGGGTTGATGTCGAAGACGGACACCTTATCCGTGGACTTGAGCTTCGACTGGAGATTCTTGGCCATTTGGTAGCCCTGCAAAAGCGAACCATGTCAGCAACTTGTCCATCAACAACTCTCACACGCCAATTCGGTCTCTGGGCCAGGGCAGTTCGAGGGTTACGGCATCAAGACTTACCATTTGGCCGAGACCAACAAAGGCATAATGATCCAGCCGCCCGGCAGTCGACGCAAACCCCCTCCTTTGCACGAGACCGCCTAGGCGGGCACCAACAAGTCGCATTCTGGGAGGTTATAAAGAGACAATGCTTAGAAACTTGCTCTTCAGTCGCAACTCCATGGCCAAGCATCGGAGAGAGAAAGGGAAGGAGGAAAAAGACCAGTGAGGTAGACGAATGTGGCACGCGGTGGCACGGCCAAACGGGTTGCGTCAAACCGAAACCGTGGTTCTCGGGCTGCGTATGCCTTTACCGAGAAAGCCGTCCATTGCCGCTGCCAGCCATTTTTGGGAGGATGGGGCGCAAGGATCAAGCATGGCCGCATCAATGGCTGGATGGGCACGTTTGGGGGCGTTTTGCGGGTGAGTGAGACCAGTTGACTTCTTTCGTCGATTCGTCCTCAACCAGTCGATGCATGTGGGGAAAACCGGAGGAGGGGCCGCAGAGGGGGAGGGAAGAAATATGGCCTCTAGCGTGCGGAGTACATACAATACCTACTAGGCGTCCTATGAGGACAAAGTACCTCGTCTACTCTGTCCACTTCGGCCCAAGACAGACGGTTACGGCTTTACTTTATAACTTACCAGTTGCCAACATTGTCCTGTCGCCATCCCCCTGATGTCGGCATTTGATCTCTTCACACCAGACTCTTACACTCCTGAGCCTGAATACATTCAACATGTCCGACTCCATACGCCCCGAGTCGGGCAGGAGACTTGATCACATCACCGCCAATCCATTGGTCCACTATGTAGACGTCTGAAATGCCTTATAATCATTACAATCAATACTACTCTTCCCATGGCCCATCTTGCTTTCATATCTCTCACCAAATCCTGCGAAGCTCGACCTGGCACCTCAGCAATAGTGGCCTTGAGCCCTGCGCAATCCTCCAATGAGCGCACACATGAGCTTACCACCATCCGCATCTCATCTTCATGCCTCGCTCCTTTTCTATCGCTTTATCACCGGACACCGGACACCTGTCACCCAACACCCTCCAACCAGAATACCGCGGTTGCGAAGGTGGCGTGGTGTACAAGGGGAATACCAATCTCTTGACACGACCATATGCAACCAAATGAACGAAGGGGGGTAAGATAAATCCTAAAAATAAACAAAGGCGCAAGGGATTATAAAAACGAAGTCCATCAACCTGAAAATCCCGAGCTCATCTAGAACCAGCGTCTAACAAAAAGAATGGCGAAATCTGGGACTTGGCAAATCCCTATGTCCAAAGGCCAAAAAACTGGGCAAAAGCTCGAGATGTGCCGCGGGTATCCTCATCTCAGTCAAACGTGAAATGGCTCTTCTCTCGTCCCCTCCGAGCAAAGAAAAAAGGCAAAAATTAGCAGAACACAAAAAAAGCAGAACCCATTTTACGCCAGCCTCTGTACCCCCGGTGCCGAGATTTGCCCAAGGCAGCGTCGTGGCTAGTTTGAACACTCGAGCCATACAGCATCCATTACAAGAAGTTGACCAGCCATGGAACAAGAGCACTGTTGTTCGCCGTTAGCCACCACCAAATTCATGAGAGTAACATGTATCAAACACGACGCCTCCTAGTGCAACTTACCCAACTGCGACTGTAGCGCCGATACCAAACAGAGCTCGGTTCTTGACTCTGTTTTTCCGTAATTCTGCCTCAGTCTTGACTTTCTTTGCTCGTGGTTGCTCTTCCTTAGCTTCTTCAGCCATACTGTGCGCCTTTTCGTCGTCCTTTTCAGACATGGAGATGTCCCCAGCTTTACGCTTGCCCTTCTTGACTGTGGTTGTTGTATCCGTGCCCTTGTCGTCATCATATTTCTTTTGTTGTTCTGCATGCTTTTCATCCGCTTCCCTGTCCTTCTGTACCATCTCCTTGGCTGCCTCCATCATTCTGGCGACTTCTTCAGCACTAGGTGGCTCCCCTGCCATGGGCAGAGGAACGTCAACCTCTGTAACAGTGTGCTTGGTCTCATGGCCAGCAGCATCCTTTGAAACCTCATCGACGCGGATCTTCATGGTTGCATCCTCAGTCCTGGGTTCCAAAACCACGGCAGGCTCGAACTCGCTAGTTTTCAGGACAATGTCATCCTGTTTGCCCTTCTTGGAATCGCCATTGACTTCTGCCTTGTCAGCCGCTGGCTCTGTCGAGCTGGCTTTGGATTGAATTTTGCGCTTTCGCGGCGAGGCAGGACCACGTCTCGACCCCTTGGTAGGACTGACAGATCGACGACTGCGAGAGCTCTTGGCCAGTGTAGACGTTGATGGGGGTGCAAGCTTTGCCGAGGCCTTTACGAAGTCGAATTTAGGTGGCGCAGAGATGTTCTTTGGAGGGGAATCGGGGTTTGAGTATGAGGAAACCGGAATCTTTGCAGGGTCCAGCAAAGCGCGAATCCAAATACCAATAGAGTATTCCTCGGCCAGAGCCAGAGCCTGCTCCGGAGGAATCCAGATGTTACCAGCAGTCTCCTCTGGACTTGTAGTCGGAAGTGACTTGATGTACCTGCGCTCGGCTTCCTCATCCGAAGCCTCGGCGTAGGGAAACGTGGCCTTGAACATGCCCGTGGCGGAAACGTAGCCGTCGAAGCTTCGGCGCATGAGGAAGTAACTCGTCGGGCTCGACTTGAAAATTCCGGAAACGATACCCTTGGGCAGAGGTGCCCGCAGGTGCGCGTAATCGAACACGCCTAGAGCGGTAGATTCGGCGTCGTCACCACCGACCATCTTAGGGGTAAGTTTGGTCTGACCAAGCCGACGGCGCTGAACAAGCTCGAGGTCTGGTGACGGTAGATTGATAAGTCTTGATGAGCGCGCTACGAAGACAGTTGGCGGGGGTCAACATACATTCAGGAACGTTCTCGAGAAGGAACGGGTTGTGCCGCGTGGGAAGGCTTCGCTGGCTCGGAGTAGCCATTTTGTTCAACAGCTAGACGTTGGTGGGCGCTAGAAGTCACGTCCGCGACGCCAACCAAGAGCATCAACAACAGCTACTCTACTAAGAACGTGCTGAGGTCCAAAAGAGCAGTGCTTATGCGCGACGGCCCTTGGTGATAATCTGCAATTCGTCAAAAAATCGCGTCAGCGCCGACACAGTGGGTAGAGGCAGGGATTTTGCGCGTGCAAGTCTCAAAGCCAGATACGTGATGGTACATACCAAGTGCCGGAGAAGCGAAAGCGCGTGAGGTTGAAGCATAAACAAACGGCCAATCCTACAAAAGAGATGCAAAAAAAGGCAATGTTCCGTGAGGAGAAGTTGGAGCAGGATAATCCTGATGGAATAGTCACCCTGCGGACCAGGTGCAGAGAGAGCAGACAACTCGTGGACGGGGGGTGGGAGAGACAGAGCGAGACGAGTCGCGCAAAATACGTCCGGGCACGAGAAGCGGGAGGTGAAGAGGCTCCAGAGCTCCAGCGCAGCCTTAGCGGCAGGGTGGTCAACCAGCAGGTAAATGCTTAAGTGGTCAGTTGGTACGTAACTTATGAAGTGGAAGTGGATTGCGAAAGGGCAGTCGGGGCGGGAGGAAACGCTGGGGGGAAGTGACGGGGGATAAAAATCACAGCTGTGCAAGTGCTGCAAGTGACAAGAGTGGAGGACGAGGTACTTAGGTACCTTGGTGAGTACTTCCGACACCTTGACACACATGTGATGGCTCAAGTACTTGGATACCAGGGTACGTTAATGGACAGGCCGTCCAAACTGGAGTGGCCGGGTACTAGCGCGGGCCATGCCTATTGGCTGCGCGTAGCAGAGCTCCAAAGGAGAATAAGTGGGGCGTATAGGATGAGACCCTCGTGCTGCACAGGCAGGCAAGCGGGCCAGTAACAGAAAACCGGCAGAGCCACTGAGGCTCTTACCATTGAATCAAATGGCAGCGCGTTTCCCGCGGCGCCTTTGCACCAGGAAACGAAACAGACCTGAGAGGTGTAGTAGCCGCGGCCACTTCCAATGAGCTGGCTGATTAAAAACGACGGAGGGGGCCACGGGGGGGCCACTGCGCGTCGGGGAGGCAAGGCGGGTACTCCGTACATCGTGGTATCAATTTATGGTGCTGGCCCCAGGCAAACAGTCGACAGGCTGGCTTCCTGAGAAAGCAAGCGCAGCCTTTTTCTGGGCTCCTTGGTACTAGTAATACTTTGTGGTCCCTGCACGCATTCATTCTTGGGAGTCCTTCTTACGCAACCCACGACCAGGACTGAGCTTACCATACAACTCAAATCAAATCAACGCAGCAGCGTTGTTTCGTAAACACTCGAACGCCTACCTACCCAGCTAGGCATGGATTGGCCCTACAGACAGCCCTTCTCGGCGAATAGACTACATACAGCAGTCACCGCTGCATAGTAGATACCTCAAACAAGGACAATATCAACCGACTCCAAGTCCCGCCTCTCCAACGCCTCACCACACATGAACCCGTGTACGAATGCGTCTCCTACCAATATATAACCGTTCTCTACTCGCCGCACAACATACGGGACAGTAGCACCGTAAAACACTACTACCAGATCACCCTCTTGCGCGGCTAGTGGCACTAACCCGATATACTCCCCTCGAGTTGTCGCAAACCCACGGCCAGGACACACTGCAATCGCCTGCATCTGAAAGGTCTGCACGGCGTCCATTTTCCCGCCGCCCATGTCATTACGATAATTACGCCCTTCGCGCCAGGCGGCCAGTGCGGAACGATACGTCAAGGCCGGGTTTTCTATAGGGCTGCTATACAGGATGGCATTGCGGCCCGTATATGTATCGTCCATTAGTAACAAGCGCGCAAACACCTCTTCATTGTCCATGTACCTGGGTTTCCCCCTGATCCCGTTCACGTAGCTGTCAAACGCCGGGCGGAACTTTTCATGGAACGCCAGAAATGATGGTTCGCCTTCGGCTGTTACCGGTGCGCTGTGGACATAGACAACACTATCGATTGTGTCGACTATCATGCCACGAAGACTGAGGCCGCCGGAACCCGACTCATCTCCAACCATGCGGACTTGGGGTTCTGTAAATCCAGAAGCTGCATACGGAACAGGACGCAGGCCAGCAATTTGCTTCGGCGACTTCGTCTGTCCCATCCAGTCGGGTACCCAGGATGGAAGCCTTCGTTCAGAGTTGTTTCTCCGTTGGAGACCTGCACTGTCGAGCATCTTGATGGCGAATCCCCGTCGGACTTGAAGTGCTGCGAAACGCCGAAACACCTCTTCAACGGTTTGGGGATAGGGTCCAATGGCTTGCCGATCATCGTCACTCATGAGCGCCAACAACCCAAACACCTTATCCGCCGGATCAGTAGCAGCAAAGTCCCTCGTCAGTTCCATAAGCTCCAGTGATGTCATTCTCCCTCGAGCATCCTTTATTTGCTGCAGCTTCGCATAGTTGAGATAGTTGCGGAGCGCATCATTGCCCCCAAGTTGCATCAGTTCCTGCATACGGCTTGGATTCGCACGCATGGCCTGTCGGCTCAAAATATCATCCAACTGCTGCTGCGAAAGCACATTGCCGCAGAACATGTACACTGCTCTTCTCGCCAACGCAGCCTCTTGAATGACCCACGTTCTCGTAAACCAAGGTTGTTGCAGAGCCAGAAACACAGTCTTGTATAATAGTGGATGTGGTGTATCTCGGCCGACCGGGATCAAGGCATCGGGACTGCCCATTCCCGAGGCTCCCTGGATGGTTGCCCACATATCAGAAGCACCCGAAACGACACGGCCATCTGTGTCTCCGAGATCAATGTATACCGTAGAGGCGTATGAATAAATCCGTTCCATGAGCTGGATCTGAGCACCCTTCTCTTCCAGATCCCCCTGGTTAATGCACAAGGCGTCAGCCCAGATGTACCCTTCTGTTTGGCCGGAACTGAATCCAGCTCGCAGCCTCTTGAAGGCGCGTTCTAAACTTGGGCGCGCATAGAATAAGTGCCCATTGCATATCATTTTGCACGCATCTGCTGCCTCACCCCAACAGTACGAAAGGGCCCCGTACGGCGGCAAGTCATCCATGTCAAAAGTGAGCAATTCGCAGTCGACGGGGTCTTCTCTGAAATAGGCACCCTTCAACTTTACCAGCCGAATCATGCCATGTGGCGATGGGAGTCTCTCGTATACGAATCTCGGGGTGTCGGGATGAATCGTGAAGGGCTGCCGTCTGGGCGGCTGTCCGTCGTTGTTGACTCTCGCGGCGCCGAGTTGTTCGCCCAAGCTGGCTCTTTCGTCTGTTTCATGGCGCCGCTCACCGTTGGGCATTAGGAGGTAGCGCCGGACGCCAACGCGATTAGGACAGCTGCTATCGCACTGCTCGTGGACTTGACATGAGTTTTGGGCAGTGAGGATCGGGACGATCATCTGGGCGAGCTGCGCGCCGAGCCCGTCTACATCGTCGACAGGCTGCGCCCGCGCCTGGGAACGTCGGCCATGATCCATGATGATCTGCTTGGTCCAGGTTTGAGGCTGTGAGCCAGAACGGAAAGATCATGCCGCAAGGCCAGAATGCCCTGTTGCGTAGATGGTTGATGAGCTGGTGCGGCTGAGGCTCGATGGCCGAGACGAGTATAGGCTGGCTTCCATTGTATTGCTAATTATAAACGCCTGCTGCTGTATTAATCTTCCGGGATAATGCCAATCTCGATGCCCCAGGGGGGGGCCCAAGAACCATGAAAGACTATTGATACTGATTTCAGGCCATTGACCATTGCATTGTACTCGATGGTTTGGCTCGAGTTTCGCTCGGAATGAGGACCACGCTAGTTCACTCAAAGAGAAATTGAATGCTTGCTCGTGCCGAGTCTCACACCGCCAGGCCATATGCAATTGCATATTTAGGTCCCGGATATTACGACTGGTATTTTTTGAGTTCGGGATTACCCGCCAGTGCCTCAGTGGTAACGACTCGCTTCTAACCAGAAACCCAAGCCCATTGACATTATTCGAGGAAACATGCGATGATGCAATGCAGACAAGCATACCTACCGAGGTACCTACTTAGGCACCAGGTACTTGGCACACATCAACCACCTTGACCACACTTGGACGGCATCAAAAAGCGACTAGAAACCGCCACGGCAACAAAAATACGACGAATGAGCAAACATACATACAATGTACAATGCACAATTACCCCTGGCGAAAACTGCTCCCCCTTATCCGAACTGTTTGACAGCCCTGTACTCCGTCCGAAATCCCCCCGCCAAGCCCGTGTCCAATCAAGCCCGTGCCCCCAACCTGAACCCCACCATCGAGGCGTAGGCTGCCCCTCCACTGTCACCGCAATCGCCTTGACGAACTCCCTGACCAGCCCTGGTCTTCTTGTCCGTTCCCTTTCCCCTTCAACTCATTTATGTTTCTATTGCCATTAGAACAGGCGCGCGTTTCTCTTGTTTTATTCTCAGCAACCGGTATTTTAGCATACATATCATAATTGGGATAGAAATCTCGCCTTTCAACCATCTCACCCACCGTTGGTATTTTGGAGCGAAAACCCCCCCACCTCTAGACAAGATGGCGTCCCACGAAGAAGATTCCATGCCCGAGGAGACTCAAGGCTACAAGCTCTCCCAGCCCAAGCAGAGCTTAGCTCAGTACGAACAGATGGGTATGTTATTTTTTTTTTTTTTTTTTGCCCGTCTTCCTGTTCCTTCAACGAATTCGTTGGACGGTTCATCTACCTTTGTCGGGCAATCAACATTGGACCCCGCGTCGAGAATGACCGTATTCGACTCACGTCGCAGCAAATCCACAGGGCTAACGCACTCTTCTTGGTAGATGCCGGCGATGAATCTCTCCAGAGGTACAAGAAGTCCCTCGGCCTGGGCGGCGGCAAAGATATTTCCGACCCCAACGACCCCCGAGTCTGCATCATCCTTTCTCTGACCCTCGACTCTCCCGGCCGCGACCCCGTCACGATTGACCTGTCCACGC